CCCCAAAACCCCAAAACCCCAAAACCCCATAAGCTGCTGCAATGATTGATAAATAGGTTCAAATACTAATATTAAATAATAAATAATGATATCCAAATCAGCAAGTATCGCACTTTGCGATATCAACGATCCTTCTTACCTGTATCCCGGAAGCGTGTTTGCAACCATTGCCAAAACTGAGTCTGATGATGTAAGATTGCCTTCTAAAAATGAGCTTCATTCGCCACCATTTTGAAAGTTAAAGATGCCAAGATAGGTTTAAGTATTAGGAAAAATATTTTTCTTTGCTATTAAGACATGACCTAACCAAAATTTAGATTTTTTCCCCATTTAACACTTCAAGGGGTTCTCCTCAGTCACAATCAGATAGATCAAGCACTGACAAACTATCTGGACAACAAGCATCTAACGAAACCTGAGATACACCTCGTTTTGATGATTTCAGCAACTACCTAAGAACAACTGTAAATGGTGAAGAGGCTGAAGGTACTTTTGGAGTCAATCCTAAATCTGATCCAACAATCCCTACTCAGAAAATATCTATCAAGGGCATGACTAATTCGAACAGAAGAGATGTCGCTTATAAATCAGCTATCAGACTTCTCAGGAAGTTTTATAGAGATCTCTTTAAAACTCAAAACCCTGACGTCGTCCAGAAAACTTACCTCAAATGCACTCTCCAAGAGGTTTATGAGAAGGTTCATGTCATGTTGACTGCATTGATCCCTCAAGAGAACCTTACCAACGACCTTGTTTATTACACCATTGGGATGGTAGGGATCAAGAAAGCGTCTGAATTGCCATGTAGTTGGGCCATCAAAACCCAGATTACTGCCTTCCAAAGATGCACAAGACAGTTCTCCAGAGTCAGATTTGACAATGCTCTTGAGTCAGAGAGCCTGAGAACTCTAGCCGGATGTCTGGTCCAGAAGCTGGATGACCCTAGAGTTAATATCTTCATTGAAGAGCTGAGTTAAGCACCGACTTGGTACATTAAGAGGCAAGTATGAGTTCCGTTCCACCCTCTGGAGTGTTCTACCATAGAAGGATATTTCTCTTCTGTAGACATCCAGGGATCTGTGGATGAGCTCTGAAAGCCAGTTCATTAAGTTTTTACTAAAACTTCAATAAACCTAAAATTCATTCTTCTTCATCGTCTTCATGGGTGAGTTAAGAAAAGTAGGATTAAGAAATTCTGATAAAGTTTCATTTGGGTTATTCAGATTCTTATAACTTTGGAAGTAAATATTTATCATAAAGTGTTCCACTGTGTCTCTTTTCAGATTCAAACTTTGTGTTATTAAAGCTTTCTCGGTCCATAATACCTCCACAATATTTCGAGATTATCTGTCTTATAATTTTTATAATCAATAGAAGGAGGTACTAAAGGGAAATTTAAGTCAATATGTAGGAGAATTATTAATTCGATAATATTTCTCGATATGAATTTTTCCAACAATTTTCTTTACCAAATCTAAACTTATAGAGCAGTATTCGCGGGACAATTTAATAGCTCCTAAATTTCTTTGCTCAAATAATAAATTTGACAATATAAGAAGGCAATAAGATTCCCCCATTTTTATACAGATTTTCAAATTTAAAGTAAAACTGTAAGTTAAGAAGCCAATAGAAATATTTAGCACTACAAAACTTTGAAGTCCAGTTTTGGCTTTATTGGATATGAATGTTTGAACTCTTTTATTGCTTTCTTACCACCTCTTCATAAGGTCTTTGCCATCATATTTTAGTAACTGTTGATCAAAATTTCCACCGTCTTCAAAAATGGAGAGCAGAAAATGGAGATCTTGAAATAGTTCCTAAATTTTCACAGATGGCTTCATAAAATCATTTATATAAAGTTTGAAATTTTAGATGCTGAAATCTCTTGAATTGAGAGTCTGGAGGGGTCTTCAGCAGACATTAAAATTCTATTTTTCCAAGAAGCTCTTTCTCTGAAAGTATCCATTCCAAAGCAAGGCTTGCCTGGGCTTGGCACTCAAAGACTGGAGAGAGGGTTTTTTGTACAAATATAAGGTAAATTAGCAATCTTGCTTACTTTATCAAACCTACCGATTATTACCTTCATCATTCCTTGGGAAGCATTAAATATTAGTACAAAGTTGGCTGGTGGCCTCATTCAAGACGCAGTAATCCGGAAAGCAGGACTCTCCTATAGCTTCAGCTAAAGCTTTAGTTGACTTCAGATAAGGTATCGAAGCTGGCTGAGGAGTCGGTTTCAATCCAACTATGCTTAAATTTTGCAAACTGATTGCCTGATGTATTAAAAATGTTTTCCATAAACTAGGTGGATGAGATATTAAAATTCGAACTTGTTATTGTAAGCTTCCAAGTTTTCATCTGCTTGGGGCCGATCATTGTTCATACAGCTCATATGATTAGAGCATAAGGCATCAGAAGCTGCTGCTTTTGTAAGAAATGAGTAGTCTTGCCTGTCTTGTTTTATAGCCTCATCTTTCTTCATCATTAGTTATGAAACATAAGAAACTGTAACCAGAATCCTTAACCCTTATGAAATCCATTCAATTTTTTCTTAAGTAGGCCCAGATGCTTTTATGTTTTACTTTCAGAGGAAGCTTCTTTTAAAGAAAATATTAATATTTCCATCAAAGTAAACCAGTACTGATGTGTTTTAATTTATATCACATAAATGCCAAATTTCCAGCGAGTGGTGAACCAGATATGGGATCAGCCGTCAATTGGTTGGAGATATCTTTGGACTTCTTCATTCTTATAACCTGAAGATATTTAGATACCCTGATTTCTTGAGTCTTGTCACTGATCATCAGTATAGCCTCAAATATATTTCATATTTTCGATTCTTTTTATTATTGATCAATATGTTCTGAACCTTCAAATTTCGAAAAATTCTAGAAAAATTAATTCTCCTCATTAAGACACTCTACGACAACCCAGAGCTATAATAAAGTCTAAATCTAAGGCTTAATATATCCTGTCACTTTTTTACCTCTCTTGCTATCTTTTCTCCTCTTAAAAGTTGTACAAAAAAACTGAAATTGATCCCTTATCTTTTCACAAAGGCTTCTGTGCTGGCTTCTCTATTAATCTAATGATCGCATCTTCTAGCTCAATTTTTCTGGTAAATGAGCGGCCTCCTTGGGATAGGGTTCCTTTCTTCATAAATTCTGGACAAACAAAGCACTGGTTTATTTTCGGTTCTGTTCCTCCCTTCCTCCCCCTCCCCAGCCAAAACCTAAAATCCCCGCCCACCCTCGCACGCCCACCCTCGCACGCCCAGCCTGGGCGTGCAGTAGAAGCATGCCAGGTCTAAGGGGGTTTGCCGAGCAAGGCATCAGGAAGGGTCTGAAGGAAGAACAGAGGGACAAGTGGATGAGCAAGTAGGCTGGGCTGAGAGAGGAAGGAAGAGGAGTGGGAATGTAAGCATGGGAGGTACTTTCCCAGTCATCTTCTGCTTCCTAAATCCCGCTCAATTTCCTTCCCCCTGCTTAGGCTGAAGCCACGGTTATATTTCAATTATGTAGAACTGGGCTGGGGTTTTGGGGTTTTGGGGTTTTGGGG